TCAGATATAATTTTTTAAGGAAATATATGTACAAATGGATGCCCCCAAAACAGGAAAAGGTATATACACAAAGGTTTTAATAGGAGTTCTTTTTAATGAAGAAAATAGTGAATATTCTGTAGTCCTCTTGTAAATATGTAAATATTCTTTACATATTATACCCTCTAATTCTTCCAGCCGTCCTACAACATAGATTATTTTCTCCACTTTACACATGAGGAAACTGGTGGTATAAGAGACTAAACTGCTTGCTCAGTCATAGCCATTTAATCTAAAATGAGACTTTGTACCTTGTGCATCTCAAAAACCTCTGGTCTTAGTCACCAGAGAGTACTGCTTTCTGGTATTAAGGAACAGGGTTCATTTATTATTTATGTCTTTTATTGCAAAGTAATACATTAATTAACCCTAGAAAAATTATACAATATGCACTGGAAAAAAAGGACTACAGAATATTTACATTTTCCTTCATTAAAAAGAAACCCTATTAAAACCTTTGTTTATATACCTTTTCTTTTTCTTGGGTGTGTGTGTATAAAATATAAGACTATATAAAAATTGTTGAATATGTAAAACATGTATATATATATATATATATATTTCTCTAAAAATAACATCTGATAAATCTTAAAACCAATTGTTAGACTTTTAACTCTTTCCAACTTACATTGTTGAACATTTAGGCTTTTGCAATATTTTGATATTAAAAATAGCTTACACTAGAAATAATTACCTAAAATGTGTAAATATAAATCAAAATGAAAGGAGACTTGCAAACACAAAAAATTCAAAACTATGGACAGCAATGCAACTGGTTGAATAGGTTGCAAAACACTTGTTTTGTAGTATATCCATATTATAATAGTGACAACCAGTTACTAATGAATATTTGCTTTTAAGCAAAGTAAGATGTTTAGCAGCCTTCTGAGTATTTTCAGCAAAGTCTTTGGTAGCCTGAGGTAGGAACTGTAAATAGGGTGTTTGGCTCTAGGCAGAATCCCAGGATGATTGAATCTAATCACTACAATTAAATGTAAGAAGTGATGCTGTCCTGGGAGGATTGTGCTCAGGGTTTATAAGCCATGAACTGAAGAACAGAAATGATGGATGTAATAAGAAGAAGTGAATGTCCAGATAAAAATATTCAGCTATCGAATACGGAGCACATAGGTAAAACCTGCCTAGTGACAACAGGGAACTGATATGGAATTCCAGAACATTAGATCAAAACTCATTTAATCTCTTGTGACAGAGGTCATCAGACTGGGCGTGGTATGAGACTACAGTGGGTACGAGCTCTATAAGGTTCCAAAGATTAGGAAAGTGGCAGGTTTTGCAGGAGAATAACTTAAAATGTAGTAGGAATTGTGGGAAATTAAAATTCAGAATAGTGTAGTTATATTAGCTTTCCATTACTCTTATTAAATATTAGAGATTATATACATTTATAAGGAGGAAGGGCTTCTTTTAGCTCTTCAGAAGTCTCAGTCCAGTACCATCTGGCTCCATTGCTCTGTGGTGAGGCAAAACATCGTGGCAGGGAAGGTGTGTGTGGTAGAATAATGTTGCTCACCTCGTGGTGGCTTGGATGCAAAGAGGAAGACTGGAAGGGTTGAGTCCCCATACTCCCTCCTTGGCTCACCCACCCCTGCCCAGTGACCTAACTTGCTTCCACGAGGCCCTATCTCCTGCAGGTTCTGCCTCCAAATAGCTATGGACTGGAGACCAAGCCTTTAACACTGCCTTTGGGCGACATTCAAGTTCCAAACTACTGGGCAAGGAAGTGATTTAAGAGGATACTTTTTGATACTATTGTGGTAGCCAATGAAAAGGAGGAGAAATTCTTTGGAAAGTGCTAGGAATATGTGTAGAAAGACATCCCAGTAAATAATTTATTATGCCTATAATTATATTTCTCTTCATATCACAATTTTGGCAAACAGAAAACGTGGCTGATTTTTTACAGCCTGTTATGCTACCATTCCTTTCATTAAAGTTTTAGCTGGTATATTAAAAATTTTCCTTTATAACAGGGGCCTTCCACAAATATGCTGTTATATGATTACAGTTTAATATAATATTATTATGCTTTAAAATTAAAAATTATCTTTTCTGAGTGCTGTTAAAGCCATGGTAAAATTAATGACTAATATGCCAGAAAGAAGTTTCAATTAACTTTCTTGGACATTGATCAGATAAACACTAAGATTTGTGACTGTACTCTGACATCTTTGAGTAACCTTATAAGCAAGTGGTTTCCAAACTCTGGGAAGTATAACTTCTGATTTAATTTAAAGAGATCTTTTTTTCCCCTGAATGTCTTTGTTTCTTGTTTATTTTTGTTGCATCCAGAGTAACGATTGTAAGGAGTCAATTTAATGTTTTTAAAGCAGCAATAACTTTTTCATATTTCTAGAGGTATGAAATTTGAAAACTTTCAAGTGTCTTATAAATATTGCAGGAACACCCTTCAATTAACTATATCTAATAGGTTGATTGTCTTTGGTGCTTTGAACTTATACAGTATTACCTTAATATGAAAATCATTTCTCACTCTTCCATGGAATTTTTTGCTATATATTTTTGAAATTACAAAGCAATCTCTACTTGTTAAAAAAAAAACAACTTAAAGCAACATTGGATGTAGAATGTCCTCTCTCCCATCTTCAGAATAGCTGTATAACAGCATGATGCACATCTTTCTAATTTTCTTAGGGTTTTGCTTGTGTATATACGTGTGAGCGGTCTGTGCATTTATTGCCTGCTCCTCTTCTTTCTTACTCCCTTCCCATCTTCCCTCCTATCTCTTTCCTTTTGTGCTTGTCCTCCTTCTTAACATAAATGCCTAGCATACTACCAAGGAAAGAAGGCAATGGTTTTGTGATCTGTGCTTTACTGATTTGCACTCAAGTGGAGCTTATTTTCTTCCTTTTCTCCCTTTGCCCACCATGAAGGTTCAATAAATTAAGACTCTGCTTTGCTTCAGTTTATTCTCAGTAGACAATTAGGAACTGTCCCAGAACAGTTGCTCAACTTTGTAAAAGAGAGAGAGGGTCTGGGTCCTTTCTCCTGGGGATAGCCAGCTATGCATCCTCGTTTCTGGCTTCCTTGGTGATTGGCTTGGCTCCAGTCCCAGAGAGGCATTTTGTACCAGTTGGTTCCAAGTATAAGGTTTCTTTAGGATTTCATTTTTGCAGCATTCTTCTTGTTTCTGTTACTGGTTGAGGTTTCCTGTCCTTTCCTATCATTTCAATCATGTTTGATTTTTGTCTTCTAGAATTTTCTAAGAAGTTTGGTGTATTGATAGTGGACCTTGTATTCTTCTCTCATTTCAGTGAGATTTAGGGAGGACACAGAAGTGAGGTGTATATGAGGGTTCAGTTAACACATTGAACGTCCCAGAGGTCTAATCTTTCTGCTATCTCTGTTCTAGCTTCTTTGAAATTCTTTGAGAAAAAGAAGTTATTTGTATAATACCATGAATCAACAAATGGCATTACATTAAATTAGAAAGCTTCTGCATAGCAAAGGAAGCAACCAACAGAGTGTAGAGACAATTTACAGAATGAGAAAAAAATGTTGTAATTTACTCCTCAGAGAATTAATATCTAGAATATATAAGGAACTCACAGAAGTTAAGATCTTCCCAAAATGAAAGATCCCATCAAAAGTGTCAACTAAAATAGAGACTTTTCAGAAGAAGAGGTACAATAAGTATAAAATGTTGAACATCAGTGGCCATTAGAGACATGTAAATCAAAACAACACTGATTAGTCCAGTAAGAATGGCCATCATCATGGACTCAAAAAAACAACAAAAGCTGCCAGGTTTGTGAGGAAAAAGAAACCCTTCTACATTGTTGGAAGGAGTGTAGACTAGTACAACCTCTGTAGAAATCATTATAGAAAAATTAAGTAAAAATAGAAATTCCATTTGGCTTAGATATACATCTAAGTATATTCAAAGGGTTAAAGTCATTACAGTTCAGTGATCCATGCATGCTCTTGTTTATAATAGCACAACTCACAATAGCTAAATTATGCAAATGGCTTATATGCCCATCAACAGATGAATGGAAAAAAATGTGGTGTATATACACAGAGTAATGCTCTGCCATAAAGAAGCATAAATTTGAGTCATTTGTAGGAAAGTAGATATACCTTGAGACCATAATACAAAGCAAAATAAATCATTCTCAGAAGTTAAATGTTGCATGGTTTCTCTAATATGAGAGACACAGAGGTTAAATATTGCATAGTTTCTCTAATATGAGGGATACAAAATATAAATAATATAAAAGAACAAAAATAAAGACAGTTGGTAGGAAACAAGGAGATAGATTCTGTAGAGATAGAGAGGTAGATTCTGTGGAGATAGGAAAAGGGATCTGAGAAGGAGGGAGAGATGAGGGTAGGGGGCAGGGGGAGAAAACACTTCAGATGTGATATGTATTTGTACTAGTTCCTCTTGATGAATGTAATTCAGGAGAAATGTATCACAAGCATATGCTAATAAAAAAAACAAAATAAAAATCGATTTGAAGTTCCTCTAGTTTGTGTTGGAATATGAAGGATTTTTTTTTTCTTTTTCATTCTTGCATTAAATGTTTATCATAATAAAATCACTGAGGTCCCATTGCTGTCTGCCTGGGTATGTAAATGACAACACTGCCCAACAACGCACATTCATGGGCTTGCAAGGTATTACTTGGAGAAGGCCAGTTACTATTACAGAATTCGTTTTAACATTTTTACATAATTATTCTTACTTCATTTGCACATATAAATTCATTTTTTCTAATATATATCTTTGTGTCTTATTTCCAGATGACTGAATAGTTTCTCTTTCCATTTTCAGTATCTGGATCAGTTGGTGATGTAAAAAATTGTGATAGCAGCTTACCTCAGGCACATGGCACTCAGCTAATACATCTGAAAATGATTTCTTAGTAACTACCAGAAGCAAATGACTGGCTCAACATTTTGTTTCTTTATTTCAGGAAGGAGAAAACATTTTCTACTTGGCAGTTGAAGATATAGAAACAGATACAGAACTTCTGATTGGTTACCTGGACAGTGACATGGAGGCTGATGAAGAGGAACAGCAAATTATGACAGTGATCAAAGAGGGGAAAGTTGAAAATTCTAAAGGACAATCAGCAGCTGGCAGAAAAGGTATTGCAACCTTAATTGGTGTTCTGAGAGAATAAAAGCTGTAGAAGAAATACAGTGTGAACTCTGAGTTATATTTGTGTTATAATGCAGCATTGTTAGAGAAAGAGGGTGTGGAGCTGTACATTCACTGATCAGTCTGAAAACACCAGGTTAGTCACTCTGAGCACTCACTCACTCGTCTCCACAGGGGAAAAAAGTTCAGAGATAAAATATATAGGAGGACCCTGCTGGATCCCGGAGGACTGAGTCCTGGGCCTCGCTCTTCTTTGAGATCCTTTGGAAATCCTGAACTTCTGGGATTCTCTTTCTGTCTGATCACAGAAGCCTGCAGGATTGCTAGTTTGTCTTATTTTGATGACCTGTAACTTGTGATGGTCATAGGTTAAATTTACTTAAACTAGTTCTGCAATCTAGGAGATAGATTTTACATACTTGTCAGCTGTTGGAAAAGAAACAGATAGTATTGGAGCTTGTGTCTGTTAGATTGTGTTTTATGTATGAAGGAAGTTTGAGGGAAATGTGAATGATGTTTTATAGGTATTCACATTTTGTAATAGACTATGTGTCTCAGTCCACTTGGGCTGGACTGGGTAATTTATGAAAAATGGAAATTTATTGTTCGCAGTTCTAGAGCCTGGGAAGTGAGTCCAGAATCAAGGCACCAGCAGATTTGTTGTCTGGTGAGGGTCACCACACACCTCACAGATGTCACGTTTTACCTTTGTCTTTCTATGACAGGAAGGCAAATGAGCTTCCTTGCACTTCTTTATAGGGCACTAACACCATTTACGAGGACAGAGGCCTCAGGGTCCAAATACCCCTGAGGCCCCACCTCGAAGTATTATTCCATGAAGATTGAGTTTCACTATGTGCTTTTAGGGGCTCACAGACGTTCAGACCACAGCAGACTGTATTTTTCCATTTTGTGGAATAAAAGCACTTCAGCAGTGACATTGGTTTTAGTAATTGCTGTGAGAGATTACTTACATAGGAATTTACAATTCTGGCTGAGTGTCATTGGCTAGAAGGTATGAGCATTCTTTCACCCTTGCCGTTTGTGTCTGTTTATTTTAATTGGATTGTTTAAGAGGAGAGGCTCTGATATTTTTCAAATAAGCATTATACTGTTTAGAACATCAGATTTTGGCAATTATTTCTGTAATTATGCTTTTTGGGGGTATTTATTTTGCCTCCATCATATTTAGGATTTCTATTTATTTTGTTCATTTTCAAAATTTAAAGGTAAAATATTCCTATTTACCTTTTCCTGCCCCAGTTTTTGTTACGGTAATAACAGTTTTTATCATTTTTGTAAACAGAATCTACAGAAGCTTTAAAAGATTTTTAAACATATCAACCAGGGATTCATTTATAAGAGCAAAGAAAGAAAAACCCCAGCAAAAGAGACAAAGAAGCCACTCATATCTCTAACAGTTAAAACTTTGGTTAAATAAATTATGTTACCTTTCGTTTAAAAAATTTACTTGAGATGTTACATAGAAATAAAGATTAACCTGTTAAATTGTGTATAAAGTGGCATCATAAGTTTAGTTTTTCCCAGACTAGTTATAAATTATGTATGTAAAAAAGATATATCAGGCCTAGAAGTATAGGATTGTCTCTGAAAAATGGGCTCATTGGTATTTTTATTTTCTAAATCCAGTTTTTTTTATTAATCAGAAAAGTATGTGTAATTTTAATAATACATTGAGAAATTTGGATAGGTTTCTGTCAGTCCATTTGGGACAACAGAGCTTTACTCCACCTGCTGGAATCAGCAGTGTTTTTTTATGACCTTGGTCTTTTTTCACACAAATGTCACATTCCCCCCTGGTAAGTCAACAGTTCACTTCAGTTGGATTTTTCTTCTTGTGATGCAAAGCGTGAAGTAAAGATGAACCATTTGGGGAAAAAGTTGTGTTTTGCAGTTCAGTCTTTATAATAACTATTTGGCCTGAAATGTTAAGGTAGGTTAGACTAAAAATTGAATTTGATTTTGTATTAATTCAGTGAAACCCAAGTAAATGATTTTGAAAATAATGTATGTCTCTTCAGTAACACCTACTGCTATTGTTTTTGGACAACACTTTGTAGTCATTCAGAAAATAAGAATTTTCCTCACTGAATACAATTAATTTGCGTTTAAAATGAGAGCAACAATCAGCGGTTCTTGGCTCTGAATTTCCATCTTGTAAATACGCGTGCTCATTTGTGTGCAGAGGCCCATGGCTGTGCAGAGGACTATGCCTGTCCGCAGTGTGAATCGAGCTTCCCCAGCCAGGAGATTCTTGCCGAGCATCTCCAAACATTACACCAAGAGCCTACAGAGGAGAAAGAATTTAAGTGCAAGAACTGTGGGAAGAAATTCCCAGTTAAGCAGGCTTTGCAAAGACAGTATGTACATTAAAGAATACTTTTGAAATTATAGCTAACACTCAATTCTTCCATTTGGCTTGACTGTTTTTAACCTGTGTGTGTGTGTGTGTGTGTGTGTGTGTGTGTGTGTTTGTGTGTGCGCACGCACGCACACATGTGAAAGATAATGAAAGAGAGAGAGATTGATTAGGCATTCTACATATTAATTCATCTTTTCATCTAGTGCATTGCTTTACAAAATATTCTGATTATGAAGTTATAAGGAAACACTTTTATGCTAATCAGTCTTTGTCCATTTAATAACTTGCCATTCAGTATCAAACTCATTGGTTTACTAATCTGAAGTTCAGAGATAAATATTATTTAGCCTGTGTTTTGAGGTGATATGTCCTAAATTTCAGTTGTCACCATTTGATGTTCCCTCTGAAATCAGTTAAAAGTTTTAAAAAATGTAGAATGCTCAGAGTATGAAAAATATGTAGACATTATGGGAAGAACTGTTTATTTTACAGCAACTTTGGAGAAATAATTAAATACAGGATGTGACAATATGATGAATTAAATGATATGCACAGATCTCAATCCTTTATTATCATAACAATCTATATTGACAGCATATATCATCCTTTTATTTAAATATTTTACAGGGTCAAGAATTATTAAAAGTGATCATGACATATTTAACAGACTACATATGAATAAAAACTCATATATGAATAAAAATATTTAATATGGGCTTAATATTCTTTTTGTGTTTCATTAAAGTTCTACAATGTGATCTCTCATATTAAGGCCATTTCCATATGTATATTTTATATATATGTATATTGTGCTTATGACTTTTGCATTTGAGAATAAAAATTTCTTCTTAAATTTAATGTTTAAAAAACTAAAACTTTATAATAACAGATGAACATTTAGAGATTCTGTTAGTTTCTTTTTAAAAAGCCTCCTGTGTTTATAGCAGCACAATTCGTAGTACCTAAATTTTGGAAGCAGCCTTTATGTTCATCAGCAGATCAGTAGATAAGCAAATGTATTTATACGCAATGAAGTACTACTCTGCTATAAAGAAAGCTGCTATAAATTTGTGTCATCATAAAATGAGTGTACCTTGAGAACATATATAGTGAAATAAATCAGACACACAAGATTAAATATCACATGCTTTCTCTTATACGAGAAACTCAAAATATAAGTGAAGTGCAGAATAAAATTGTGTGTGTGTGTGTGTGTGTGTGTGTGTGTGTGTGTTTGTGTGTGCGCACGCACGCACACATGTGAAAGATAATGAAAGAGAGAGAGATTGATTAGGCATTCTACATATTAATTCATCTTTTCATCTAGTGCATTGCTTTACAAAATATTCTGATTATGAAGTTATAAGGAAACACTTTTATGCTAATCAGTCTTTGTCCATTTAATAACTTGCCATTCAGTATCAAACTCATTGGTTTACTAATCTGAAGTTCAGAGATAAATATTATTTAGCCTGTGTTTTGAGGTGATATGTCCTAAATTTCAGTTGTCACCATTTGATGTTCCCTCTGAAATCAGTTAAAAGTTTTAAAAAATGTAGAATGCTCAGAGTATGAAAAATATGTAGACATTATGGGAAGAACTGTTTATTTTACAGCAACTTTGGAGAAATAATTAAATACAGGATGTGACAATATGATGAATTAAATGATATGCACAGATCTCAATCTTTTATTATCATAACAATCTATATTGACAGCATATATCATCCTTTTATTTAAATATTTTACAGGGTCAAGAATTATTAAAAGTGATCATGACATATTTAACAGACTACATATGAATAAAAACTCATATATGAATAAAAATATTTAATATGGGCTTAATATTCTTTTTGTGTTTCATTAAAGTTCTACAATGTGATCTCTCATATTAAGGCCATTTCCATATGTATATTTTATATATATGTATATTGTGCTTATGACTTTTGCATTTGAGAATAAAAATTTCTTCTTAAATTTAATGTTTAAAAAACTAAAACTTTATAATAACAGATGAACATTTAGAGATTCTGTTAGTTTCTTTTTAAAAAGCCTCCTGTGTTTATAGCAGCACAATTCGTAGTACCTAAATTTTGGAAGCAGCCTTTATGTTCATCAGCAGATCAGTAGATAAGCAAATGTATTTATACGCAATGAAGTACTACTCTGCTATAAAGAAAGCTGCTATAAATTTGTGTCATCATAAAATGAGTGTACCTTGAGAACATATATAGTGAAATAAATCAGACACACAAGATTAAATATCACATGCTTTCTCTTATACGAGAAACTCAAAATATAAGTGAAGTGCAGAATAAAAGATAATAGGAAGTAAAGAGATAGATCTTTTACAGAAGAGGAGATCAAGAGATGAGGTGGGTAGCCGGGCATGCTGGTGCACGCCTCTAATCCCAGCACTTGGGAGGCTGAGGCAGGAGAATCACTATTAGTAGACCAGCCTGGGCTACATAGTGAGTTCCAGGTTAGTCTCAACTACCGTGAGACCCTTTTTTAAAAAAAAAAAAAAAAAAAAAAAAAGATGGTGGGCAGGGGAGAGAAGGGCTGAGAGAAGGAATTGAGATGTGTTATGTACACATACTGGTTCCACACAAGGAGTATAGTCGTTATGTGCTGCAAATGTGTACTAATGAAAAATAAAATTTTAAAAATTAAAAAAGCCACCAAACAATGACTATTTACCTTTTAATAATACACTCAAAAACTGTATTCTAGTGAATTTTTATTGCATTTAGACTTACATATTCCAAACCAAAAATACCCTTGCTGAACTAGAGCTTAGAGTTTAAGTATATACTTAAAAAAAATCTTCAAAAGGCAGTAACACAGAATGAAAAAGGAATGTGATTTTATTCAAAGGTAGTGTATTCTCACATCATTTTCTTAGAGTTCCAGTTTTTGTTACTCTTTTGTCTTTTTCCCCCTATTTTCCCTCAGTGGTCTTCAGTGCACAGCGAAAAGCAGTCTGAAGGATTCTTCACGGAGTTTTCAGTGCTCTTTTTGCAATTCTTCCTTCAGTTCAGCATTGAGGTTTTGTGTCTGAGTTATGAGATGGCTGTTAATTGTGGATCATTTTTTGCATGCACAATTTCATGCTTCGTAGTGACTCAGTATTACACTAATTAAGTTAAAGGACTTAAATGCTTTTCTTTCTTACCTGTGTAGGTAATGCATGAAATGACCCTGAAGCTCTAGTAGGGAGCATGTGTTACAAAAGCCTGCCATGACGTTGGAATTTTGTAGGGGGTCTTTAGCATTTCTTCTTCCTGTCTGCCTTTGCTATTTGTCTTGTAGTTTTGAGCAGCACCAGGAGACCTGCCAGGGGGATGCCAGGTTTGTGTGTAAAGCTGACAGCTGTGGGAAGAGGCTGAAGAGTAAGGATGCCCTGAAAAGACACCAGGAAAATGTCCACTCGGGTAAGGAGTCATTTGAAGGTTGTTTTTTAAAGGGGTTTGCTCTCCCCAGCCCACAGCGGTCTGTTTTAAATTTTCACTTTTGAAGTCAAAAGATGACTTTTCCATTGTTTCACACAGATGTGGTTTATTTTCATTCCCCACACTGTTTCTTTTTCAAGTAGATTTCAAACAGCATTTGTTAGTTTTTCTATCTCTGAATTGATCATTATTATAAACCTCAACTTGAATCTAGTTTTGCTTGGTAGTGAGATGCATTAAAAATAATTTTTGATAATAGCATATGAAATTTTTCCTTCATAAATTGTTGAGATTTACAGCTATAGATATATTTTGAAACTAAGTGATGCCTTTCTGCCTTAATGTTTTTAACAGAAAAAGTCAATTTTTTAAAATGCTTATATTTCTTCCATACTGGAGAGAATTCTAACTACATTTTTCAACGGGAATTGAATATATTTTAATTAGTCAAGCAAATGCTATTCAAATTCCTTCTAATGGCTAGCTAAGCAAAACAAATACAAAATTTGATTGTCACTTAGATTTTAGCTAATTATCACTTTGTAGCAATCAGTAAATGTGTTTTGATTTAGAGATTGAATCTTTTTCACTGAGTTGAGCCACTGGCTGTATTGTCAGTTAACTTTTTATTTCCTTAATGTCTTTTCCCCAAAAGACACTGAGGTTCCTTGAACTCCGTATGTCCTTGTGAACATATTTTATTCTCATGTATTTGCCTTTGCCCTTGGCTTCTGGGAAGTGGGTACAAATATGTCTCTGGATGGGAGTGGGTGGGCAAGTTCCTTTTCTTCTTTACTTATTCTCAAACTATTGTGAAAAGGATATTCACCCTAACGTCTATTCTCTATGTTTATTCATTGTCCCAAGCGTATCAACTTTAATAAAGTTATAAAGGCTGCTGGTATGAGCCTGGCTGCTGGCTCCAAATTCACAGTGTTGGTTTGGGCAGCACAATTAGTGTGAGCCCTTTGTGAAAGCCCCGGGTGGTGGAAGGTGGTCTCGTGAGATACACCTTCAGCTGGTTTCCCATCACTGGGACTTTATAGTGATGTTTTCTGTTTGAAGAACATGTAAATGATAGGTGGAAATGACACTGTCCTGTGATTCTGAAAGACATGCATAACTTTTTGATAGACTTGACTTCATAGTTTTTTTTTCAAATGCTGTTCTGGTTAAATTGTTGCTCTTAATTTTCTCTATCTATGTCTGTAATGTGTTGTAACAAAACTTTCATGTCAGTTTTAAAGTTAACTTTGCTAAAATAAGTAGAAAACCGGATGCATTTTGAAACTGGCAATTTTTGCATTCTCACCACTCGGCATGTGGTTGTCAAGCTGTGCTATAAGCATAAATTGTTGAGGATTCTTGTAATTGTCACTGGATAGTCAATATTACAGATTCTGGAAATTCATGGTGATTTGTAAGAAATAATTTATAAAATGAGATTTTATTTTGTTTTTTTTTCCTATGTTGTAAATTATATAAAATGTGTACTCTTGCTGATTTTAGCCAAAAGTCAGTATACATACCTTTTTCTGAATTTGGTACATGATTTCCATTTCTTATTCATGATCTCTCTGCCTCTTCTTGATGTGAACTACACACACTTGAGGAAAGAATATTCCCTATTGACAATAGCAGGCAAAGCAATAATGGCATATATTGTTGTAGAATTCTTTATTATAAAAGGACAAAGGTATGCAAAGAAATAGAAGGTCTTGCAGCTTCTACTTATAACAGATTTCCTTTTTAAGGGATATGAATTGAAAATGCAGAGTAAAAGGAAGTTGAGCATTTATTTATTTATTTATTTTCTTTTTATTGTGTTCATTGGCACCTTCTAGGTATAAAGTACAGTTACGTTCATTACTGGGATTTTGTACCTTTACATGACAGGTATTGGTCCTCATTTTTTCCCCTTGTCCCTGCCCTCCCTTCACCCCCTCCTCCCTTCCCCAAAGTTGAGTATTTAAATGAAGGTCATAATTTTCCATAGAAACTATAACATGGTAGGTAGGTCCTTAGACTAGCTCCTAGAAGCATACTTTTAAAAAAAAAAAATTATTGAGTTTATTGGTACAATCTAGGTATACAATACAATTGCATTCATTATTGGGATCCTGTACCTTTACATGACAGGTCTTGATTCTCATTTTTCCCCTTGTCCCTGCCCTCCCTTCACCCCCTCCTCCCCTCCCCATTTACAACACTTTATTTCCATTTTTTCATTTTCTCATATTTTTTTCCTCTCCCTTATTACCTTTCCACCACCCTTCCCACTTTCCCTACACCTTTAGTCCTTTACTTCCTATTTCACATTATTAATTATCTCATTAGGATCCTGTGTACTATTATAGTTTTTCACACCAAAGAAACTATTCGGTATTTCAATTAAAGAAATCTTTATATGAACATTAAAAATAGGGAATCCTAAAATAAAACTAAAAAGGAAAGTAAAAGAGAAAAGGCAATGATGTAAAATTAAAATAATCCTTAATTCTGCAGATGAATATGGTCCTTGAACATATTTAAATTGCTTCTTGCTCTTGTAGTCTTATATTATTCTCTTTTTTTCATTTTTTAGAGAATACTTTATTAGTTTCTGTAATCAAACCCACGTAGATATGACCTTATGTATTTAATACAGTGCATTACCCCTGTAGAAATGGAAAAAAAAATTAACATTTCTAGACCAGTATGACATTAATTTCTGTACAATGCCAACTCAACACAGTAAATTGGGATAACTTTTTCCAAAGTCGACAGCACAGTTAAAGTTTCCAAAAATTCAAATTATATATATTTATAATATATATTTATATTTATATAAAAAGATCAATAATAGCCGTATGTTATGCATCAATAGCAGCAACAGCTTTTCCAGGTTCTGCAGTCATCTGAACAAAATTATAGACATTCAGTACACTCCATTAAAAAAACAAAGAGAAGAATAATACCCAGAAAACAGCAAAGCTCTGTTGCTGTTGTGGTACCTGGCACCATTTTTTTTTTATTAGCATCTTAATCATCATCTGAAGAGAGAACATTCTAGAGTAACAACATTAAAAATAGCTCTGATAAAGCATGGTCACTATTACATATCATAAAGCAGGTACAAGATATTTTACATTCACAGAGGTATGATACAGTACTGTCCTACATCTGTATTACTAGAATCAGTTTTGATTTGAAATTTACTTTCTCTGCAAATAAGATTGCTACCCCTGTGTCTTTTCTGGGCTCCTGTCACATGGAGAATTGTTTTCCATCCTTTCACTTTCAGTCTTTGGGCCTAGAAGCATACTTAACTGACATTGTGTTGTAACTCAAGTGCTTGACTATGTGTGTAGTATGGTTCTTTTCACCATCATCTCCTGCTATTCCTGAATTTTTTTTATTATGGTGCTGGGGATCCAACCCAGGGCCATGCACACTCTAGGCAAGCATTGTCAACTGAGCTATATCCTTATCACTCCTGAATATTTTTGAAAGTTGCATGTGAAAGTCATACATTAGATTTACTTGTATATGGGAGAGACAAAAATAGTATACATTCTAGTTGAGGCTTTGTGTTGGTGCTGCTGTTCTTGAGCCTAGGAAAGCTAGTAGACTTGTTACATAGGAGGAAACAGAGTATGAAAGGACTGAGTTCCTGAACCCACTTGCCATCTTTTTCATTTGCCCGGTTTCTGTAAATGCTAGCAGTATATGGGAAATAGCATGTATCTATATTATCAGATGTGTAGTCATGAGATTTTTTTTTTTCTGCATTTCCTTTCAAGAAAAATTTCTAGCTCTAGGATGAAGAGGAAGAGACGTGAGGAGGAGAGAAAAGATTTGAGAGCATGGGTGGGGGTTGGTGTATAAGATGTGCCATTGGCTGCAGGACAAGGGCAAAGGAAGAGTAGTGCTTGGAGAAACCACTTCTGTCTCTCCTTTCTTTCTCCTCTGACCTTCCTGTTAGAAAATATGTGGCCAAGCCCCAAGGAGCAGTTGCCATGAGGGCAGCGATAGGGCAATTAAACATTAAGGGTCAAAGATGGTAACTAATGGGTATTGGAAAAGAGAGAGTATTTTTTCAGTGGCCCTTCATTTATAATAAATGCTTGTAGGGAATCAATGAACAGATATATGCAGTCAGATATTCATTTTCTCAAGAGAATTTTCTCATTCAGTAGCCCGCTTGTCAATCACCAGAAAATTTTCTTGACTGAAAAATTAGCATGAGGTAGACAGTATTTTAAATGAATGCTCTGTTGCCCAGATTATCTTGGTATCTCGAAAAGTCATATTTGTAAAGTGTGTTTTTCTTTGATAAACATGATCTTATAGTAAAATCATTTTGGAATTTTTTTTACTTGGTTTGTATTTGCTTCAAAATAATTAGAGAATCGGGGAGTGCATAGAATTGTGGTTGGAGCAGGAATGGGCATAGACTAGAACTCATTGTTGGAGTTTTGTGGTGAATACATGTTGGTTCATTGTTTCTGTTTGTTTTTTTTTTTAAGTCAGGGTCTCATGATGAAGTTTTGAAATTGATATGTAGCTCAGCTGGCCTTGAATTCACGATCTTTCTGGCTCAGCTTCCCAAATATGGGATTACAGGTGTGCGCTACCATGCCCAGCAATATGTTTAATTTGTGTATTTGAAATCGATCGGTTAAAAGTGGGAAGCATGATTTTATGGTCATTTATGACAGTATAGATGATACTGTTATTACATCACATCTTTACAATGTTTTATTGAATGTCTATGCATAGAAATGTTTCATTTAAATAACCATCATGAGGTTTGAATTACTGTAAAGTTAGTCATTATATAAGACAATTGGATTTTGTTTTAACGTACTATAAATATAATGCTTGATTTTATATTATTCTGTTAACATTAATCTAGTAAAGCATGTGTTCACAGATGTTGTCAATCAAGTGTTAGAAGCAATAATCTATAAATCCCATCTTAAAAACTTAGTTGATGGAATAAAATATTCTATTGAAGTGTAAATGGAATAGAAAAATCAATTTATGAATTGTTTTTCTTTCCTAAATATATTTGGTTCATTTTATTTTTATGGAGATATGCTTTTTTCTTTAAATATTATGTTAGTACATGAAAAACTGAAAGGCTTATTTTGTGTAAAAAATGCTATTTCAAGCTGAAGGCTTCTCAAATTTAAAAAGAAAGGGTCTTAAAATACAACTTGCTCTTTATCTGAGTTTATCGATATGTCTACGTGCATCTAAATGGATATGAGATTCTGAATTATGAAAATGAAATTACATGTTTAGAAACACTATCTGTTGTACCTCTCAGTAGTTTCATTTAATTTATGATGGTATTTTACTTCTGTTTTAGGAGATACTAAGAAAAAGCTCATGTGTTCAGTGTGCAATAAAAAGTGTTCCTCAGCATCAAGCCTACAGGAACATAGAAAGGTTAGTAAGATATAGCTTAACTTTCATCACAGTAAAAGATCTTCCAGTCATTTATAGTGTCTACTGTAAGAAGTTTCAGTTTATTTTTATTCATTCTTAAGACAGGGCATTGCTATTGGCAACATGTTCTAGAATGGAAAATTAATACGCAAGAGAGTAAAAGGATATTTTAAGTTATTATTATTCAGAATTAATTGAAATACTTCAATGCCAGGTGTCATCTAGCTGAATCCTTCACTTAACCCTGATTTGGTTTCACACTATATCCATTGCTGTTTGCTCAGGAAAAGCAATAAATACATAAATTAATGAGAAAAATATACCTTTGTTTGGCATTTATAATGTTCTGAGAAGGAGCCTTTGGCTATTAAGAGGAATAATATTATGGTTTAGTCTGACACAACCAAAACTAGATGCATTATGATATAACAATAAAATAGTAATATGAATTCCTAGTATAATGTTTTCTTAAATTTACTTTATTCTGTTTTTTTTTTTTTTTTTTTTTTCCCCTCTGTAACAGGGATTGAACTCAGGACCTTGCACTTGCAAGACAGGTGTGGTGCCATTGAGCTAAATCCCCAGCCCTCTTTATTCTGTTTTTTTAATAATAACATGATAAAGCATGTCCAAGTCCAAGTGCTATTAGCAGAAACAAATGATTATGTTAAGAGAAAATAAATTTAAGTCACCACATTATTTTGCTGTGGAAATTAATCTGAAAAACAAATGACACCTATTAACTAACAACATTGGCAACCAGTTACTAAGATAAAATTATAATATAATTTAGATTTTGTTCACATTATGGCGAAGTTCAAAATATTTAAAAATATTTAAGAAAATAAAATATTTTATTTTGGTGAATTAATACACAAGGAAAGGGAAATGGTACTAACGAAAGCAAAATTACTTTTTTGTAGTTTCTAAAATGCATTTTTACTAGCTATACATATGTAGATCTATTCTGTAGTAATAAAATGGGACTTAAAATTCATATGACTTTTAACCTAATAATTCCAACAGTTTTTTGGAGATAGTTAAAATATTTTAATATGTCTGTGGCTACATTCTGTATGGTGCATGATTTTGATCCTTTTATGGAAGAATAATGGAATAATCATTGAGATTCAGGTTAGTGGGGCTCTTCTGTTGCTAATCTTCCATTTAACATTGGGCCTCAACTTTCTTATTTTTAAAATGAAACAATGAACTAATGTTCATTTTTTAGATGTTCTTCATTGTAGATCTCCTTTTCTCTCTCTATCACCTTTATAGTTTGGGAAGCAGAAGCCTAAATGAGACAAAAATATTAAATATAAAAAATTAAATATATTAGAACAGATATTTTCTAAACATTCTCTTTTGTCATCCTATAATTTACTCAGTCTATTTAAATCTTAGAGGTTGAAATTTAGGGTAGTTTACTAAATAGACTAATTTAGCAAAATTGGCCATGGCTTGTATTTGTGAATAATGTACTTTTTTTTTATAATATAAGAACTTTTTCCTCCGAAGAAAATAACTTCCCAGAATGAAATTTTACATGATGGTGATGGAATACAGGCATGATTTCTTGTGCTTTTGAGTTATCACTTCTTATAGAATGTAATAAATTATTAGCATGATACAGCCCTTTCCTCCCTTCATTAGAGTCTAATCACTCAATTTTAACTTTTCTGACTATATATATATATATACATATATATATATACAGATTTTAATGACTCCAGTCTTGACATTTTAGTTGGATGAGTCTTAATGTCTAATAGAGTTTAGTTGCAGTATTTCGCCTTGCCAGTAGATGGTACTTTGTGACAATGCTAAATTACAATAAGAGCATAGCATTTTGTATTAGTGGATGCTGTCTTGTATTATACTTCTTGAAATTATTTAATTTAGGATTTCAAAATATTATCCTCCAGATCAATATGATATATATATATATATTTTTTTTTTTGGTGCTGGGAATCGAATTCAGGACCTTGTATTTGCAGCACCACTGAGCTAAATCCCTGGCCCAATATCATATATTAAATTTTACAAAATGTGTTTTTGGCATTTGGCATATGTACTATTACCTATCATTTTTACTTTAGATCTGTTTTATTAAGCCACGTTAGGAGTTTTGAAAATAGTTTTCTCATGCTTTTTGTATAGTAAATTATCTCTTTAATAATTTGAAAACTATCAATTTAATTCAACCTCAAAAAGTAATGTTTCAGAGGCTATGAGAGTTAAGTGAACAAATCAGTACTCTGTAGTACTGTATGCATTTTATTTGTTGCCTTTTATATCATTTAATGATTTTGAACATTTGATATACCAATAAAAATTTAGTATTAAAGATAAAAGTACATAAAATTTTCATTTTTGTACGGCTCAGAGGCTTATCATCTGTTTGTCGTTATAAACTTGTATGCTGTGCATTACAGAAGCAGGGTTTAAGAATATAAATCTACTCATTACCCTTAAGTAAACATTACACATCACATCACTACTCCTAATGCATCAGTGTTCAGCAGAAGTTCTGTGCAGGCCTTGCTGGATGACGAGGCCACGCCTTTAACACCTCAGGCTGCAAGCTTTCATCCTGTGTTCCTTCTAGGGCAGAGTGCAGATCCCATGCTGCTTTCTTAGCAGAGAGGTTCTCTGGACTTGATCTTGTCCTCTGACAGGATTAAATACAGCAGTATCACAGGACATAAGTTAGACTTGAGAGGAGTGATATCTTTCAAGTGCTTCCTGATTCTCTACTTTTCATAACTGAGTTTTCTGGCTCATCAAGTCATACTTAACAGAGCATAGGAAGGTTAGTAGCCTTATACTTCCCATATGCATGTGAAAAGAATAGGACTCCACCGAGGCCTTGGACCTGTTAGCTTCCTCCCAAATCCACTTCACCCTCCTTGCTTTGAGCCCTGTCGTGGCCCCGTAGTTGAAGGAGACCATTACAGGACCACTCATTACTCCTGTGCTGTGCCAGGTCAGGGTTGTGGCCTATACCCCATGCGTCTCTAGTTACTCTGCAGGGTGGTTACCGTCTTCTCTTCTTGCCCAAGGGCCTTTGCTTGTCTGGGCTTGTGCTTGTCTGGGCTGTATCTTCAGCCAGGCTGACACAAAACAGGACTTCACCAAAACCACTTGAAGATCTTCAGCAAAATAGTGTGATGCTCTTCTTTATTGGTCAATAAACATTTTTTTTTTTATTGAGTTTATTGGTACATTTAGGGATACAGTACAGTTACATTCATTGTTGGGATCATGTACCTTTACATGGCAAGTCTTGATTCTCATTTTTTCCCCTTACCTCTGCCCTCCCTTCACCCCCTCCTCCCCTCCCCTTCTACAAACACTTTATTTTCTCATTTCTAAATGTCAGTAATCTTATTAGAATCTTATGCATTGTTGCAGAATATTCACACCAGGGAAACTATTTGGTATTTACACATGTGGGACTTATTTATTTCACTTAGGAGTATATCTTCAATATGTATCCATTTTCCTATGAATGAATCTATTCTCTCGCTCTTTATGGCTGAGTAATATTCATTTTATAGAAAAACCACAACTTCTTTATCCAGTTTCCAACGGATGGGCAAATAGGTTGTTTCCAAGATTTAGCTATTACAAACTGTGCCGCTATAAACATGGGTGCGCATATTTCTCTGTGATATGATTCTTTTAGTTCTCTTGGAAAGATACCCAACAGAGGGATGGCTGGGTCATGATGTAGCCTAATGCAGTAAATTGCTTTTAGAACTGAGCATGTTATTTCTAATAATAAGCTAGGCTTCTGCTTTTCATAATTCGACTTTTCTAATTTTTTGGATTACAAGTCAGAAGAGGAAGAACTAATGCATCATCCAATTGTAACATTTATAAGATCTAATTGTTTGTTGAAGCTGTTCCCCTTATGTTTTGTAAAAGTACATTTTATTTGTGTATGTGTAAGGTAAGAAGCAGAAGTTATAAGATAATAGTGTGTAGCAAAATAATCATTACAGTGAAACAATTTAACCTGTTCAACTCATATTTATCCTGCCCTTAGGCGAAAGCAGCTGTAATCCACTCATATAGCAAAAAATCCTGAACTCTGTTCATTATTGTTGACTGTATTCCTTATCTTTTATATTAGACCCGTTTATCCTACATGCTACTTATGTACTCTTTGACCTATTTCCTTTTTTTTTCATTGTGGCCCTCTGACCATATTCGACTTCTACGTAATCAGTAAGCTAGAATAAGTATATGAAGCTACTTGTGAAGTAAATGTTTTCAAAAGCATGTCTCGTCTAGTCTGCAATTAATATTTTACTCTATATTAATGCATATCATTATCTGCTACAAAAGTAATATCATTTCCTGCAAGAGGCATATTTCTAAGTCTAAATTTGTGCATAACAAAAGAGTTAATATATATGAAGTATAATTTTTAATGTACACATTTAATATACACTAAACAGATCAACCATACTGCATATTCTTATAGTGTTATGGTTAATTTTTAATATGTTTTATTAAATAATGTATGTTTGCTGCATTTTCAGATTCTGTGGGATAATATGAACAAATTAGAGCTGAATTATAATTGTTTCAAAACTGCAAAAGCAACTGTAGGTTTAAATTTTGGCATGGGCTCTGGGTAATTTACTTTGTTTCAAGTGTTTAACTGTCAATTTAATCTTTTACAGATTCATGAGATATTTGACTGTCAAGAATGTATGAAGAAATTTATTTCAGCTAATCAGCTAAAACGTCATATGATCACCCACTCAGGTAAACTCTATATTTTTTCATTACTTATTGAAATCACTATGGAGTAATTTTCAGGAATTCTCAACAGGTAATGAGATGCCCTGGCTGTAAGTTCTGGCTTAGCCATTAACTGTGAGATTTTGAACAATTCACTTAATTTTCTAGACCTTAGTTTGTTAGGTGATTTAGTTAAAGGTGCTCTTCAAAGTCACAGTTCCAGAGCCTCAGTTTCTTTATTCTTCATGTGTTAGGTGGGTTACTCTTACCTGACTTTCAAAAACACTGTGAAGATTAAGTGAAATCATTTATGTATCATGCTAGTGTAGCTTTCAGCATTTACTAGAGATTAACAATTACAGCTCTTACATTTCTAAATACTTTTACATCTTAATTATGGTGCTAATAAATGTTACTGAGAAATTTATAAATGTTTTGAGAAAATATTTTAAAGTCATAGTTTTCATCTTAGCAAACTTGAGTAATAGCTCCATTTTACTTATGCAGACTTAAAAAAATAACTCTGGAAATAATTTTTGCTTTATGAAGTCTCCTAGAACATAAGATTTCTGTAATTTGAAGCCATTGAAATCAGAGTGTTTTTGAATATCCACACTGTTTGGAGATAGATAGAGATGTTTTAGTAAGTTAAAGTCAGAGATTTCAGATATGTTAGGTTGATTTACAAAGTATTTTTAAAATTTAGTTGTCAACATTATGTGAATATCACATACACATGGCTTTGACATACTTGTCTAAGTGGTTAGTTCCTGCTGAGAATTGGAAACTCTGCCTGTATGGGCCCGGTGTGGCCCGGCAGGAGGCAGTTTTGCCTTTACCTCCGTCACTGCCAGGCCTCTCCTCGTATTCTTGGCTGTGACCTTGATTTAAACTCACACATATCAACACATTTTTCATCTGGAAATAGGATTTCTTCTTCGAATTTAAACCTCCTTCTATTAAAGCTACCTTTAGATTTTAAAATAGGTCTACAGAAGAACAAGCTCACATTTCATTTGTGAATAGACATATATCCGTTGTAAGTGGACTGCTGGGTAATTTTTTTCTTCCTGTTTTGTTTTAATTTGACATTGCTTTTTAGTTTAGTTAAATATATCAAGTAATTTAAGGAAAGTTCATATCCCTTTTTATCCTTTACCTTTATATAGATATGAGATTGTCTCCATTAATTTTTCACAGAAAAACGACCCTATAATTGTGAGATTTGTAATAAGTCTTTCAAGAGACTTGATCAAGTGGGGGCCCACAAAGTAATCCACAGTGAAGATAAGCCTTACAAATGCAAACTTTGTGGCAAAGGATTTGCTCACAGAAATGTATACAAGAATCACAAGAAGGTAAAAACTTATTAATCTTTTTTTACTATTTCACTGACATGATTTTCAATTGTCTTTCAGTGAACTTTTTTCTATATCTGGATCATGGTATATATATATATATATGTAATAGAGTAGTAACTAGAGAAGATCTTGCTGTGCTTCAGAACCACTCACTCAGACTATAACTCTTTGCATCCTCATTTCTGTCTTCCATGCTCTATTAATACTCTGCAAAGTGCCACTGAGCTATTAAATCAATGAAAAAGCTCTCAGTTAAGTCAGTGAGTGGTATGGGGTTTTAATAATTTTTAAGTCCTTACTCTTCTTTCTTTCCATAAAGTTTGATGTGCTTGTTCATGTCACCTGTTTGAAATTCTCTTCATCTTTGGTATTCTTTTTTTTTTTTTTTTTTTTTTTTTTTTTTTTGGTACTGGGGATCGAATTCGGGCCCTCGTGCTTGCAAGGCAGGCACGGAACCACTGTGCCAAGTCCCCCGCCCCATCTTTGGTTTTCTTGTAGTGTACTTTGCTCAGTCTCCTTACAGTCTCTCTGAATACTTCTTTCATCTCTGTGTTAGTCAGCTTTCCATCACTGTAACAAAATACGTGAGATAAATTGAGGAATAGGAAACATTCACTTTGGCTCATGGTTCCAGATATTTCAGTCCATGGTTGGTTGGCTCCTTTGCTTTTGGACCTGTTCTAAGGCAGAAAATCATAATGGGGAGCACATGGTAGAACAAAGTTGTTGTCACAATGACCGGAAAGCAAAAAGATGGGGGTGGAAGCTGGAATCCCAATGTCTTCACGAAGGGCACACCCCAGGGTCCTAACTTTCTTCCACTAGGCCCCACCTTCTTAAGGTTATACCAGTAGCTCCACAGGGTGGTAACCAGATTTTGAATACATGAGCTTTTAGGGCACATTTAAGATCCCAGTCATTATAGTCTTACTTTACCCCAAGAGGGTATCTTAGATATTCTGTGTCCTCTCTCTCTGAGAAATATCGCCTATATTCATGACTTCTTCTTTCAATGCTAATTCCAAATGATTCCATTAATACCAAACTGAAGACCCATATTTATAACTACTTACTTACCTGATACGTGATTGGGCATCTTTTGACACTGCATTTAACAAGCTCTAGAAGGACTTTTTCATCCTCTTTTTCCTCATAACTTCTCTTTTGGAAAGTCTTTTGCTAATACAGAGTATATAATCAAGTCTCTTTATTCATTCTTGACTCCTCTATAAAATTAGAAGCCAAACCATAAAACCTCTACTGTCTCCATATCTTAATCACTTTTGCATCATCTCTTCCATTTGTTTCGTTTTATTTTATTTTTGCAGAATTGAGGATTGAACCCAGGACCTTGTGCTCACTAAACCTCCAGCCCATCCCTTCCTTTACTATTCCATTGTCTTGATAACATATTTTTTGTCGGGATTAGCTTCATATTCATTTCATTCAGGTTCCTGGTATTTAATCTCTTCTCACTACAGCCCATCCTACCAGGCACATCGTCCAAAGCATAACTGTTTTATATCACTCTTGTACTTTAATATAACGAGTAGATTTCTAATGCTTTGTAATATGTATACTTTCTGATGTCATCACAGTTCTCCAAACCATAACCTTAACTTACTCTCCAACTTACCCTTCTGTTCTCTGCATGCATCACTCCTAAAATAACTCATTGTTTGCCTATAGTCTACATAACCTCTCTAACTTCCCTCCGCTTCAAGTTATAATCTCTTGGATTGTTCTGTTCATTTTTGTTCACATTTTTTAAACTATTTTAGCTCATTTTCTTATTCCAGAACATACTGGCTTTATCAAATTTATTTTATGCAGTAATAAATAATGTTTGAAATGAATTCAGAAAATATATCCAAAGATATTCAGCATTTTTTTTAAATGCACGTAAAAATGTCTGTGACATGACAAATATTTGCCTATTTGGGGTTGGTATACTTTAGCATGCTATTAAATATCATTTTTATACCCTCTTTTATTTGTTTTTCCTTTTTGAGACAGGTAGGTAGATTAGGCTGGCCATGAGCTCACTTTGTAGACCAGGCTGCCCTGAACTCATGCAATCCTCCTTCTTCAGCCTCTTACAACTTCTTTTAAGATAACTTGGTACTTATTTTTTGTCTTACTATTTCATGAGGATTCGAGATATTTGTTTTTATGGGGACTCACACTTTGTCCCTTTTGAAATTGTTTAAAAAACTTTCGGTAGCAATTTCAGCTTTAGTTTAAGAAGAAAAACAAAACATAGACTGTGCAAAGAATACACAGAATTAACTGATAGTGTCTCTGCCTGATTTCCTGCTGACTACCCTTATGTTTGGCTCAGCTATTCTGTGTTCTGGGCAGGGCTACATTTGTTACTGCTGCTTAGGAATTACATGACTGTAAAGAATTATCTGGCGAGTTTCCTGTTCAGTCTCTGGAACCCTCTTGTTCCTTTCTTTGATGAAACTGATCTACCCGCATTTATGAGTTTTTCACAGTTTGGCTTGTGTTATATGCCATATGGGAATTTGGCTGAGGCTGTATGCACCATCTCTCATACTTTCAGCCATAAATCATGTGAAAGTAATAACGATGTCTTGGGAAGGATAGAAACCATCATGGTTGTAATTTCCAAAGTGGAAAGCACATTCAATCCTTTTCCTCTGGACAACTATGTTTCTTACTGTGTTGTGATTGTAGCATAGATTTGGTATGGTTATGTGAAAATATCTGAAACATTAAGAATCATATAAAAAAGCAAATCAGCTTTTTCTTCCATCGTTATTCATTAGTGGCTATGTAGTCAACTATAAAATAAGGATATATTAAAAAATCAGAAAAAAAACAATGAAGAGTCAGTCTGTCAAGTAGCATGTTCAAGTATTATTATATTACATACATTAAAACTCTTACTAATTTTTTTGAGTATATGGCTTGTGCATCTTTATTGTAGTTGTCTTACTTTAGGCCAGTTCTTGTCTTTTAATATTTAGATTTGCTTCAAAATAGGAATTTTGTCATTTATCTTGATTATGATGATAGTGAAATTTTGAAGGGATGGTTTCTGATTTGATAACATACTCATTTCATTACCTAGCAAGTTACATAGACTCAATAGGGCAAAATTAGTTTTAATTCTCCTTCATCTTTTGTACCATTTGCTCTTATTCTGAGTTATTAACATTCAGCTAAAATCAAAATCACTTACCTGTATCCAGTTGTATTTTTATGATTTAAATTACGACTGGACAGACATTCATTCAGAAACTGCAGGAGACAGAAACTGGGCAATTATTAATCATTCTCCACATTGTTCCCTATCAAAACTAATGCAAAGCTTGGAGAAGATATATAGTGTTTTCCTTCTTTTCCCCTAGGATGACTATTCAGTTAGATCAAACTGTCTTGTCTCATGGTGCTGGCATTACTTGCTTGATGATAGAAGTGAAGATTGACAGGTTTTCCCTTGGGAAAGTCTTAAACAAGCTCCTTGGGGACAGGTGTCTGTCTCCACAAATAAAGGACCTTCCTTCACAGTTCCTGTGTAGCCTTCCAGGGATGGAACATTAGAAGCCTATGAGTAAATCTAGTCATAGTTTTTCTTTTTTTAATAATTGCATTGTTCATCTTGTAGTAGTGTCTCATCCAGTCATATTCAAACTCTAGGCATCACTGCTTTGTGGTCTTGAATTTAGTAAATCATGAGTAGCCATTAAAAATAGAAGAGAATGACCAGGGCGTGGTGGCTCACACCTGTAATTCCAGCACTCGGGAGGCTGAGGCAGGAGGATTGCTGTGAGTTCGAGACCAGCCTGGGCTACATAGTGAGTTCCAGGTCATTCTCAATTACATAGTGAGACTCTGTCTCAAAACACCACCCCCCACAAAAAAAAAAGAAAGAAGAAAAAATACAATGGTAAGGGATTAATAAAATAATACATATGTATTATGTGTTTGTTGGATTATTCTATAAGAAGAATTTTGGGGGTTATTGAACAATTTGAAAGACAATGTAGTTCAGAGTTTCTGTCAGTAAAATTGTTTGATCTTCAAGAAGAGAAAAGCTTACTCCCTAAAATATCATGAATCAGCCTGTAAAACTACAATATATTGTATAATATCAACATAATAAAAACTATTTGAAAATATCTTAAGAAGGCTCTAAATTGGTGACTGAGAAACAGTATTTACACAACCTTTCCTTTGCTTTTGTATCAGGTAGCTCTTCTTTTTTTTTTGGCTGTTTTGTTTTGTTTTGTTTGAGACAGGGTCTCACTATGTAGTTGAGACTGACCTGGAACTCACTATGTAGCCCAGGCTGGTCTCGAACTAACAGCGATCCTCCTGCCTCAGCCTCCCGAGTGCTGGGATTACAGTTGTGCGCCACCACGCCCGGCTAGGTAGCTCTTCTTCAGGTGAAATACTCTTTCACTTAAAATATTATGTACAAAATTACCTGTCTTTGTGTGCTAGAACAGAGTCACAGTGGTGAGGTGCTTTGAAGATAGGTACTACATTTAATTTATGGTAGCTCTTGACCACATTTTATCAATGGTGGGTAAAATTTTGCTTCTTTTTATAAATTCATTTGTCGTTTAACACTTTCTGAAAAATTCTTGTTTGTTATACTTTGTCCATTTTTCCATTGGACTAATTCTCTATTTTCTCATTATTTCTAAGAGTCCTGTACATATTATGAACATTAATCCTTTGCTGTTTTTCTTTCTTACCCCTTATTTACCAATTTTCATCTTCTGAGTAAGAAAGTTTTACCTTTTTATTTTGTCATACATGCATGTGACGTTTCATGCCTTTGGACTCTTTTATTCTGTGATTATGCAAACATTTATTCATGTTTTTAAAAGTTATGGCAGTTCCTTTTTTGTTAGTATTTTAATTCTCCAAAATGTATGTTTAGGTTTAGAATGTGATAAAATTCCTTAAGTGCAATGTTTTTGACAGCCATTCTGTTCCATTTAATCTACTTTCTTGCAATA